TTCAGGGCTTTTTCGGCAGGTTGTACATGTTTCCCCGCGTTTCATGTCGGCACGACGCTCACGTTTGGTTGCCCCATAAGGGGCTCCATCAAACAACCCCGTGGCAAGGTCTACACGCGCCCATGCGATTTATGCCAGCATGCCACTCGCACGGTTCATGGCCTCATAGGGAGCACTGCCGAACGTCTGGTTTCGGCACGTCCCTCACATGGTTCGGGGCCAACGAGGAGCTCCATCCAAGGCCCCTGTGGGAAAGGCCGCGCGTTGTTGCCAATCCACATTGGGACATCCGTCGCACGCTTCGTGGCCCCATTCATCGGGAGTTCTTCCGAAGGTCCCAGTGGGAAAGGCCGCACGCTGCCGCCAGCCCACGTTGTCACATTTCTCACACGCTTTGTATCCGCATAAGGATTTTCACCCAATGCTCCGCTGGGAAAGACTTGGAAGGGGCCCCAGGAGTATTCAGGATCCCTCTGGGGATCCCACGGGTCGTCAGGAGGAGGAGGAGGAGAAGGAGGAGGAGGAGGAAGAGGAGGAGGAGGAGGAGGAGGAAGAGGAAGAGAAAGAGGAAGAGAAAGGGGAGGGAGAGAGCCAAGAGGAGGAGCGCGAGGAGGAGGAGGAGGAGAGCGAGGATGAAGGTGAGGACAGGGACGAGTAGGGTTGGCGACCTACCAAAACCTTACCATACAGCATCTGGCGTCATCTTTTGTAGCGTTCGGCGACAACGACTAGGAAAACGACGACGCAGATTCCGACGACGACGATGGCCATGGCCAGAGATGGGGGCACCATTAGGAGACACCGCGGCAGACACCGCACTCATCCGATGTAGTTGTGTTGGCGCCCGTTGGCGCCCGTATTGCAACGGGAACAGGTTTGAGAGCGCCATGCCAATCAGGTGGACGACGACGACTAGGACAACGAAAAGGATGAGGACAAGGCCGAGGATGATGCCGATGACGAGGATGACGACGGCGATGACGATGACGAGGACGAGGACACGTATGATGACGATGTTGTTGTTGAGGCGGTTGATGACGGTTATGATCTGATGATGGTGATGGCGATGACAATAATGATGACGTTGGCGATGATGAGGAGGAAGGGGGAGGACGACGCCGACGACGATGATGATGACGATGATGATATGGTGATTGTGATGACGATGATGATGCTGATCAGAATGGTGGCCATGATCATGATCATGATGATGATGGTGACGGTCATGATCATGATCATGATGGTCAGAATGATGACGATGATGATGATGATGATGATGATGATGAGGCTGATGCTGGCAGTGGTGGTTGGTGATGATGATGATGGCGAGGAAAAGGAGGAGGAGGAGAAGGAGGAGGAGGAGGAGGTGCAGAGGAGTAGCAGGAGGAGGACGAAGTGGAGGAAACGCATGAGGAGTAGGAGGATTAGGAGGAGGAGGTGTATGAGGAGGAGTAGGAGAAGGAGGAGGTGCAGTGGACGCGCCGTCGTCCTCTCGCGCCGGCGCGTGCTTGCTTCGCGCGCGCCTTCTGTGGAGGAGGAGGAGGAGGAAGACCGGGATGACGGGGGGGGAGGAAAAGGAGGAGGAGGAGGAGGAGAAGGAGGCGGGACGGAGGACGGCGACGAGGACAAGGACGATGATCGCGATGACGACGATGACCGTGATTATGATGCGGATGTTGATGATGATGGTGATGTTGTTTATGATGATGGTGATGGTGATCATAATGACGATGACGATGACGGCGCCGACGATGAGGAGCGGGAGGATGAGGAGGAGGAGGAGGAGGAGGAGGGGGAGGGGCAGGGCGACGATGATGCCGATGATGACCACGATGATGATGATGATGATGATGATGATGATGATGATGATGATGATGATGATGATGATGACGATGATGATGATGATGATGATTGTGATGATGGTGATGGCGGCGGCGGTGGCGGTGATGATGATGAAGATGACGAGGAGGAGGAAGATCAGGAGGAGTAGGAGGAGGAGGAGGAGGAGGTGCAGTGGATGAATCGCCGTCGTCTCGCGCCCGCGCGCGCTCTTGCCTTGCGTGCGCCTCCCGCGGAGGAGGAGGAGGAGGAGGAGGAGGAGGAGGAGGAGGAGGAGGAGGAGGAGGAGGAGGAGGGGGAGCAAAAGCAGGAAGAGGAGAAGGAGGAGGAGGAGGAGGAGTGGCTGGATGAGGAACATAATGAGGAGGAGGATGAGGAGGAGGAGGAGGATGAGGAAGGAGGAGGAGGAGGAGGTGGAGGAGGAGGAAAGTGAGGAGGGGGAGGAGGAGGAGGAGGAGGAGGAGGAGGAGGATGGGTAGCATGAGGGAGTTTTATGAGTGAGGCGCATGACGGACATACGGAGGAGAAGGAGGATGACGTTAAGGGCGATTGCAATCGGATGTGGAGGGGCGGACGCAGGAAGGAGGAAGGTAATGTGGATGCAGGAGGCAGGCAGGCGGGAAGGGATGAGGATGAGTCAGGCAGGACTGTGGGGATGAGGATGAACAGGGCGAGGAAGAGGGAGGCAGGAGGGAGGGAACGGGGGAGGAAGAGAGCGGGATGATCAACCGGCGAGGAGGGAGGCAGGAGGAGCAGGGGAGCAGGGGAAGGGAGTGACGGAGGGATTGCGGGAGGCAGGAGGAGCTATAAGGCTTCCGATAGTTTCGGATAGCGTCGAAGAGGCCTGAGATGGCCTAGTGAAGCCTAAGATCGCCACGGGAGCGTGGCCGGAAGGATCGAACGTTGAGCCGAATCAGGAGTGTTTGGAGACACTCGCGATTGCCATTGTGCCCAAAGCTGCACCACAAGCATTTACACCCCTGTGCATTTGTTGCTCGAACAAAAACTGAAGCATGCTTGCCCCCATGGTGCCGAACCGCCTGGACGGCGCTCAACCAAACACTTGAAGCGCATCGCACGCAACTTCCACGAGAAGGCCTGGCTAGACGACGAGAGTATCGAAGACGCCTACGGCGAATCACCGCCGCCCCCTGCCTTTTTGGAAACGCCGATGTGGCCGAAAGTTGGACTAGAGTTTGGCCAAGCTATCGGACCATGAGTGCCCCGAGTCGGTTTGGAAAGCTTTCGGGGAACACATGGGAGATAATGATTATGAACAGGAAGAGGAAGAGGAAGAAATAGAGTAGGAGGATGAGGGTTGTTAGGAGTCTCTTGGGGCACCCTTGGTGTCTGTTGGGGGCTTCTTGGGGGCCTCTTCGAGGCCTCTTGGAGGCATCTTGGGGGCCTCCTTGGGCCTCTTGGGGGCCTTTGGGGGCTTCCTGGGGGTCTCTTTGGCCGTCTTAGGGCGTTCCTGGTCCGTCTGACGCCGTCTGGAGCCGTCTTGGGGGCCTCTCTGGGCCGTCTTGGGGCCCTCTTGGGGCGCTTCAGGGCCGTCTTGGAGGCCATGTTGGGCGTCTTGGAGGCCTCTTGGGCCGTCTTGGGGCGCTCTTGGGGCCGTCTTGGGGGGCCCTTGGGCCGTCATAGGGCCTTCTTGGAGGCCTCTTGGGCGATCTTGGGGGCCTCTTGGGCCGTCGGAAGGCCGAAAAGAAGAAAACGCAAACAACCTTCAAAAACCTAAGGACAACCAATGATTTTGGCCTCTTCGGGCTCTCCTGGAGAACGTTTGGGAGGCCTCTTGGGCCATCTTGGAGGCATCTTGGGGCCATCTTGGCCGTCTTGGAGGGCATCTTGGGCCGTCTTGGAGGCATCTTGGAGCCATCTTACCCGTCTTGGAGGCCATCTTGGCCGTCTTGGAGGCATCTTGGAGGCCATTTTGGGCCATCTTGGCCGTCTTGGAGGCCATCTTGGGCCAAGTTGGGGGAACAAAGGCATTGACAGATGGATTTTCGGAAACTTACGGGTGGCCGGCGGGACGGGCCGAAGCCCAGTGGGGAGTTTTTTTAGAAAAAGAACCAAAAACCAAAACCTGAATCGTCCAGCACGCCGGGCACCCCTGCGGCAAGACCACAGGGGGCGGTGGTGCCGAACCGCCTGGACGGCTCAACCAAACACTTGAAGCGCATCGCACGCAACTTCCACGAGAAGGCCTGGCTAGACGACGAGAGTATCTAGTGGCCTTCGGCCAAATCCGCCACCGTGCCTGGGTAATGGGTCAGATGCCTCATGGATGGTGGTTGTGATCTCGTGATTGGCAGTTTTGGGGCCTTTGGGGGGCTGTTTGGGGGGCTCCTGGGGCCTGCTTGGCGGCCCCTGGGGGCCTCTTGGGGGCCTCTTGGGGGCCTCTTGGGGCCTCTTGGGGGCCTTTTGGGGCTTCTTGTGCCCTCTGTAGGGCGTCTTGGGGCGGGGGGCTCGAAAACGATGAAAATTCTGGCGCTCGAAAGCCACGATCCTCGTGAGGGGTGTCAAAAAATGGCCTTCCCCAGAGTCACGCGGGAAGACGCGGCAAGCCCAAAGCGATTTGAGAATTTGGCCTCCGGTCGCCTTTAATGGATCTTCAGGACTGAGGACCTGAGGCTCAGGGGACGAGGAAAGGACCTGAGGACACGCCCGCTCCGTGCCTCAGGGCACGGTGGCGGATCCATACAGTTCTCAAGTCGCTCAGGAAAGCGAACGGGGAAGCCCTCCCCGAGAACGTGTACTTAGCATCCCCGATTGAAGCCCATGGGCTGGCATTGGGCACAGATGCAGAGGAGTGCCTGAAAGCGATAGCCTTGAGGACACGCCACTTGGTGCTTGCGCCCGGGAACGAGGGGAAGACGGACCAGTCAGGCCAGCACTGGTCGCTCCTCGTAGTGCATCGACACGCGGGGAACACTTCCAAGGTTGCGTTTGGATGTTTCCACCTTGACAGTTTGGGCCTGCGCTCGCACAAGACAAGGGAGGCGAAGATTGCGAAAATCTTGCTGCCAAGTTCGCCCACTGTGACCACTTTGAAGTGCGCTCAACAAGTGAATGGGGACGACTGCGGAGTGTATGTGCTATACAACGCCACGGTCGTGTTGAGGGACTTTTTGCTTTCGCCATCTTGGCGCGCGTTCGCAATGTCGGCGCACTGGAAGGATGCCGTTCTCGGGACGAGGCCGAGCCAGATCCGCAAGCATAGGGAGGCTCTTTTCGAACGATGCCAGAAGCCTGCCAGCGAGGACCCGCAGGCAGGGCCCAGCGGGGCGACAAGCAACACTTCGACGCCTGGCGTGCTAAAGCGGCCCGCGGCCGCTGCTGCCAGCCCTGGGGCTGCCGTGGCCGCCGCCAAACGGCCAGCGTCCGCGGAGGCCCCAGCAGGGAGGGCTCTCGTGGCGAAGCGCCCAGCAGGGGAGGGCATCTTGGTCTCCGAGGCTGCCGGACGGGGAACGAGCTGCCCTTTCCCTTGGGCGCCGAAGTACGCCTACAGCAAGCTAGGGGAGCAGGTGACAAAAGGCAAGGGGAAACTCTTCCGCGCGGTGGTGCAACCCAAGTATCCAGCGGCGATCCTTCACACGGGTGCGCAGGCGACGAGCGAGTTGGAGAAGTTTGGCTTCACCCCCGGCGCCCCCCCGTTGGTCGCGAGGTTCTGCTGGGTATGCCAGGGGCGACTCGCGGTGGCGACGCGGCAGGGCGGCCGGAAGGACGCCGTCGTCTGGGAAATATCGGCACTCTGGTGCCATGCGGGCACCTGCGCGCCCGCATGTATTTATCGAATACGCCTAGGGCGAATCGCCGCCAATCCCTTCATTTTTTGGGAGTCGTAGGGGGTCGTAGGGAGTCGTAGGGAGTCGTAGGGAGTCGTAGAGAGCCGTAGGGAGTCGTAGGGAGTCGTACGGAGTCGCAAGGAATGGTAGGCAGCCGGAGGGAGTCGTAGGGAGTCGCAGGGTGTCGCAGGAAGTCGTAGGGGGTCTTAGGGAGTCGTAGGCAATCGTAGGGGGTGGCAGGGGGTCGAAGGAAGCCGTAAGGAGTGGTAGGGAGTCGTAGGGGTCGCATGGGGTCGTAGGGTGTAGTAGGGTGTCGTAGGGGTCGTAGGGGGTCGTAGGGAGTCGTAGGGGGTCGTAGGGAATCGTAGGGAATCGTAGGGACTCGTAGGGAGTCGTAGGGGGTCGTAGGGAGTCGCAGGGAGTCGTAGGGAGTCGCAGGGTGTCGTGGGGATTCGTGGGGATTAGTAGGGAGCCGTGGGGGAGTCGTAGGGTGTAGTAGGGGGTCGTGGGGGGGTCGTAGGGAGTCGTAGGGAGTCGTAGGAAGTCGTAGGGAGTCGTTGGGAGTCGCAGGGGGTCGTAGGGATTTGCGCGGTTTCGTAAGGGGCCGTAGGGGGTCGCTGGGAATCGTTGGCAGTCGTATAGGGAGTCGTAGGGTGCAGTCGGGCGTCGTAGGGAGTCGTAGGGTGTAGTAGGGGGTCGTGGGGAGTCGCAGGGTGTCGTGGGGAGTCGTAGGGAATCGCAGGGAGTCGTAGGGAGTCGTAGGGAGTCGTAGGGAACCGTAGGGACTCGTAGGGTGTCATTGGGAGTCGTAGGGAGTCGTAGAGAGTCGTAGGGAGTCGTAGGGGGTCGTAGGGCGTCGTAGGGAGTCGGAGGGAGCCGTAGGGAGTCGTAGGGAGCCGTAGGGGGTCGCGTAGGGAGTAGTGAGGAGTCGTATGGGGGTCGTAGGGTGTCGTAGGGGCTCGTAGGGAGTCGCACGGAGTCGCAGGGGGTCGTAGGCAGCCTTAAGGAATCGTAGGGATCCGTAGGGAGTCGTAGGGAATCGTGCGATGTAGTAGGGAGTCGTAGGGATTCGCAGGGTGTCGTCGTGGGGAGTCGTAAGGGGTCGTAGGGGGTCGTAGGCAGTCGTAGGGAGTCGTAGGGGGTCGTAGGGAACCGTAGGGGTCGTAGGGATTCGTAGGGATAGGGTGTCGTAGGGGGTCTTAGGGAGTCGTAGGGGGTCGTAAGGAGTCGTTGGGAGTCGTAGGGAGTCGCGTGGGGGTCGTAAGGAGTCGTAGGGGATTCGTAGAGAATCGCAGGGAGTCCTAGGGGGTTGGTAGGGCTGGTAGGGGGTCGTCGGCAGTCGTAGGGAGTCCCTCTGGGGCCGTCGTGGGGCTTCTTGAAGCCTCTTGGGGGCTTCTTGGGCCGGGGGTCTGGAATTCCCTCGCTCGGTGGGCGCGATCCTTGTGAGGCGTGTCAAAACAAAACTCCCCAAAGTCACGCGGGAAGCTCCGACAACACGCGAGTAGGCCAAGTATATTTGATAATTTGGGCCCCAGACCCATTAGGCACTCCTCGGGTTTGAGGACTGGGGCCTGGGAGCACGGAGGAGGACATCAGAACACAGAACACGCCCACTCCGGTCATCACGGACTCCGTGCCTTGAGATGCGGTGGCGGATTTCCCTGACGATATTTGCACGGACGCGCAGGCCCGCGCGGCGACGCAGACTGCCGAGTGTCCTAGCGCGTCGCGCAAGGTTCTCGCGTGCAAGAGGCAGAAGTGCGGCGTGCGCAACATGCCGCTGACTGCGTTCACCCCCATGTACGGGACCCGCATGACGCCTCAGTCGTACTGGAGGGTGGCGTGGTGCTTCGCAAACCAGGAGAGGGTCGACCAGACCGTGCAGCTGACAGACGTGAGCGAGGACGTCGTTCCCCGTTGCTTCGCCTCCCATCGCGACGTCGTCGCGTGGTGGTCGGTGAGGATGGGGAGGGGCCTCACCTTCGGTGCTGGCGAG